ATACTCTCGAAACTTTCTCTTATACCAATACTTCGCTCAATATTTTCGATTTCTTGCTCTTTCTGTGCAGCACATCTATTTACAAAAGCAAAACTCTTGTATTGTCCACAAAAGCTCAATAAATATTTACACTGGTATTCAGAAATTAATGTTTGGACGATTATCTCCAGAACTACAGGACATATTCTAATGAAATTTGGTTTTAACATAGGTTGATATTCTAAAGTAATTACCGTTCAGCTGTTACAGTACGAACGGAAGAACATGCGTAACACTCATCAGAATCAGGTGGTATCAAAGAGTTGTCACAGAACTGAATAAAAAAAGATTATTGGGGTACGGCCCTCTCGTACAGGCCTCACACTGTGATACCATACTGGCAATAAGGCAGTTTATGAAATCCCATAGCAGTTTATCCCACTCGTTCAGTGACATTGTTTCCCTGCAATCGATGGTTGTCGTAGAGGGATTATGTTTCGCAATTGCCCTCCCCAAAGCGTCCCAGACGTGCTCTTAAAGATTGAGATCTGGAAATCTGGCTGGCCAGTCCATCCAGCGAGTACTTTTATCTCCAGGAAATAGTCACCCCTCTGCCTTAACAGGCATACAAGAGAGAGAGGGAATAAGGGAAATCTTAATCATTATAATTGGTCTGTTAAATAGGTCGCGGGAAATTAAGCTTTCGCGCTTTTAGTTACAGGGATAAACGTTAAAATGTTAATTAATGCATGCTTGAACTAAAAATAGATTAAAAAACAGGATGCTAATATTAAAATGTGAGAAAGAGCGTTTCGCTTAGAGTAATAAATTAAGAAAAAGACTTACAGAAAAGGAATAACATTAATTAGTTTAGCGTTAACTATTGATATAAATAAAATTGCTGACGATTCTGCTTGAGATTTTATTTTAAGTTTTTGTATATTAAATTATTTTTTACAAGTGCTGTGACAACGTGGATTGGTGCTATGTCACTCTAGTTATCTGAAACCGCATGCTTATTTTGTTTATAGTTGTGCTTTTAAAATTTTCTTCGATGGAACTAAAGTTAAAATCAACGGCAATTGAAATAAAGAAAAATACGTTATGTACTAAAGCAAGATTAATAGAGAAATTTTTTTAATTTATTTAAGGAAAGTGTATTGACGTCAATATTGCTCGATTAATTTTGAAAAATTAGTACTAATCGTATTATAGTAACTGGTGCGGTATTTAATAGGTACTAAATATACTAATATTATCACTGTAGGTAATAGGTTTTTTTATTTGTTTACCGCAGGAAATGAGAACAGGAGAAAATTGCTTGATTTCGGTACATTTTGATTATCATCAGTTGGCCTCGAACAATTGCATGCTATCAAGGGATACTTCTTGCAATTAATTAATATTTTAATGGAATGAACTTCTAGAAGATATTTTGCTTAATCTATTTACGCAGAGTCGCGATGGCTCAGGGGATAGAGCGTTCGCCTTCTAATGAGGCGAACCGGATTCGAATCCCAGTTGATACGAGTTCCGTATCCGACTTGCACCGACCACAGTGCTGAGGTGAATTATCCTTAGTGGTAGACGGATCATAGGTTAGAGTTCCCTTGCCGTCAGGCTAACCTTGGGAGGTTCTCGTGGTCTTCCTCTCCATGTAACGCAAATACGGATTAGTTCCATCAAAAAAGTCCTCCACGAAGGCAATTTCCTCCAATACTTGATCCAGGAGGACTTCTGGGTCGGGTTCAAAATTACAAGGTTACGGAGTTGAACATTGGTAGACGTAAACCCAAAAATTAGGTCGGTTGTTCAACGATGGTTATAAATTGAAAAATAAGAAAAATATTTTTAAAAAATCTACTAGCGCAAAGCCACCTGAAAGGGCAATAAATACAAAACTGAAAATATTTTAGTTTCATTAATTGTGTTGCTATATATCTTTCAGTTTTGTGTATAATTTCCTAATGCTAATCAGTGCTGTGGAGTCACTAGTTAAAATATTTGAATCCCAACTCCGACTCCTAACTTCCCTAAGAATTCAACTTCGATTTATATTAAACTAAAGCTCTCTCCGAATCCCAGGAAATGTTAATTGTACACGGAGAAAACAATTCTGGAATAATAACCGTGCTGCATTGTAATGATAATTCTGGTCACATAAAATGAAAATAAAATTTTAAAAAAACAATATAATTCTGCTTAATAAAACCAAAATATGCGGTAATTAAAACATTTTTTTTTCTCCAATGCCCACGTGTGTTAACATCCATCAAGTCAGGCATATACAGGACGATTTTGTTGGCCTCTCTTTCAGAGGTACCATATTAGGTGGGCCAACGTCGCTCCCACAGTGAGGACAGATAGTACAGAGAAGGAAGGAACATCCATGCCTTGTCCGGGATTCGAACCCAGAACCTTTCTGATGCAAAGACAGTTCCCTGTCCCCTACACAGGCCGGTTGACGTATTAAAAACATTCCTTTAGTAAATTTTCCATCCACATAGTAACGGTTTACAGTAAATTCTGGTTTTGAAAATTATAGCTCTTATTATCCCACATTTAATAAAAAATACAAAAGCGAAAAGCAAAATTTAACCGAGCAAATGGTTTTTATGCCATGATCTTAAGTATCATGATAAAGTTTCAAATTTTCCAACCTTTGCCAAATTATATCACTTATTATAAAATTATATAGTGTTAATTTTAAAAAAATCATTATCAAAGAACTTCGGTTAAAATTATCGAGCTTTTTGGTTTTCCCAAAGAGCCAGAAATGGATGGTGTTTTCTACTCTAGGGAACGCAGCAAGCTCGGTGCCACCTAAATTTCCGGGTTACTGTTTCCGTTGTATTTTAAAGCCATTTTGCATCATTGTGTTTTGAGATTCTTGCAAACTTACTTACTATTATTACTTGTGTTTACAATGCTAACAATACTTGAGTTTACAATGCTAAAAGTATTAACACTAACGTAAGATGGTGCACAGCTTGCAACAAGAAAAAACAGTAATAAACTTATGGAAAGAAGCCAAATCAAAACTGCCAAAAAAGCGAGTTATTCAAAATCTAGCAAACCATGTCACCTTTTTTAACAATATATCTCTAAATAACTAAAACAAATTTTCGCTTTAAACTCACCAAAATTACTTAATAATATTAATATCTTATGAAATACGGCAGATTTGAGTTCAGAAATTATCTAATTTATTTCTTTTATTGAAAACAAAATTATCCGTTTGAAAATATCGCCTCGCAGAATAACATGTAGTAAGCAGCTGCAAACTTTCTAACCGGAACTAGAGCAGGCATACAGCTCGAGATTGTTATTGTTTACATTTTCACTGAAAACACTATCCATATGGTAAATTTTATTATATTCTTGTAATTTTAACGATGCTTTTTTTTCAGTGAATAAATATCATATTTTATGTATCGTAATTAAAATGATTATTTTATTTCCATGCTATTCCAATACTAAAAAATATCTATTCAATTTCAATAAGACAAATTCCATCCTTGATAATCGAAGATAACTTGACAAGTTTCACTTTTTAAAGAAGCTTCTCTATTTATGGGTGAGAGCGTTTCCAAAAATTTTAATGCCTATTCTTTCATACATTATATAATACTTTTTAAAATAGAAACACGGGGGGGGGGCGCCAAAAATTTCCAAAACTTTTCATGTTTTTCCCATGAATGTCGGTTTGTTTCTTAAGAACATCAATCCGTATTGTTTATAAATTTTGTACCGTGCTAATTTAAGGTAACATTAGTCCACATATCGTAAGACACGATTCTCAGTAGATCACCAAAGTAAAGCATCACTGGCAGCTTTCAGTGAGTTAGTGGAAAACCAATTCGATCAGGTTGCGAAAGGACCGAGGTTGTGTGAAATCGGTCTTCGTTAAGACCCATTTTCACTGCATATGATTTACACTCGTCCGATGGCCTCATATAGAAATGAAAAATCTGTTTGGTGAGTTCTCCGCTGAGGAATATATTTCCCCTATCAGGCACTCATTCTCTCTTGACGGTTATGCTAATGCGATTCGCGCATTTGCAAGCAGTTCATCTTGCATGTAGTTACTAAACATTCGCTGGCGCGTTTAGTGCAAACGAAGACTATGCGAATACTTCCTAAAGTTCTCAACTTTGCTCGCATGTCGCCAGGAAGCCATTCCCTCTACAGAAGTCAAAATTGGGATGAAATGTTTTCGGACCAATAATCCATTTTGCAGCCATTGTGAAGGGACATTTACATGATGCCAAAAAATTGCGTATGTGAATTTGAATACCTGTGGACTACAGCCCTGATGGTATAGGAGCCTTACTGTGAACGAATACCTGATTGGAGAGTTATACTTGGGTCAACATATTTCACATTCAATAAAGTTCTCTGCCGCATCACCGAATTCGCAAACGCGAAATTTTTGCATCCAATGCAAAATAAACAATGAACGGTGTTTTCAGTAGAAATGTAAACAATAACAATCTCGAGCTGTATGCCTGCTCTAGTTCCGATTAGAAAGTTTGCATCTGCTTACTGCATGTTATTCTGCGAGGCGATATTTTCAAACGGATAATTTTGTTTTCAATAAAAGAAATAAATTAGATAATTTCTGAGCTCAAATCTGTCGTATTTCATAAGATATTAATGTTATTATGTAATTCTGGTGAGTTTGAAGTGAAAATTTGTTTTAGTTATTTAGAGATATATTGTTAAAAAAAGTGAAATGGTAGCTAGATTTTGAATAACTCGCTTTTTTGACAGTCTTGATATGGCCTCTTACCATAAGTTTATTACTGTTTGTTCTTGTTGCAAGCTGTGCACCATCTTACGTTAGTGTTATAACTTTTAGCATTGTAAACACGAGTAATAAGTAATCAAATAGTAAGTAAGTTTGCAAGAATCTCAAAACACAATGATGCCAAATGGCTTTAAAATACAACGGAAACAGTAGCGCGGAAATTTAGGCGGTACCGAGCTTGCAGCGTTCCCTAGTGTAGAAAACGCCATCTTTGCTGCGATTATATTAGCGTCCTCTACAAATTTTTTTTGCCTCTGTTTTGTCTGTGAAAGCTGTAAGCAAGTCTTTGGCAAAGTTCATCACCCGAATTTCCCACCAGTAAACGTCGGTAATCAATAGAAATTTTTGCTTAATAAAAATTTTTACTCAACAAAACACACCGAAATGGCTGAAGCAATGAAAGCGACAATCTCTTCTATGCTTAAAGGAATAGACAGGTTATATTTCGCTCATTCTTTTTAATATAAATGTCAATTTCAATCAATATTTTTCCTACGTAGGTTTTATAAATGTGTTACAAGGCTCTAATGTGTAACACGTTTCATGTATTCATGGAATTAATTGTTTTACCAAAATTTCACATAATTGTATAATAAATTTAAGAGTTCAAAAATTCATAATAATTGGTTTTGGGGGTAACATCAAGCTTATTTTGAGATAGCCTTTAAACTAGACTATTAAATTCATTTTAATGAATCTTATGATGCATCTGATGTACATTTAATTTATGTACATTAAATATGAAGCATAATTACGTCATTTTGTTGAGATATTTTCTCATAGTAATACATTTACATGATCATATTTTGGTAGTTCTAAATTATTAGGAAAGTGGGGTAGTTCGAGACTTATTTCATTTATGTAAAACATTACAATTAGTAGTCATGGGCTTCTTACCCTTTCTAACTGATATAGAATGTTTTAGTTTTCTTATTGGGTTAAGTACTTTTTAGGAAAATGCTTTGTTTTCTGTGAAATTACAGCTAATGTGGGATATAAACTTGTGTAAAAACTCATCGATATCTTAAAAAATGAGGATAAAATTGCATCATTATATATTTTGTATTAAATGGGAAGCTTGCAATAATACTTTTTTTCCTACGATTTTCCTCTTTCTAATCTACATTTGTGATATGAAATTCAAAGCTAACTTAAGTTTCAGATTTACAACTACTACTAAGATTTATCAGATGGTTTAAAATATTATAACAAATAAAAAAATTAGTATAATGTCATTTATTAATTTTTCTTTATCTAAAGCAACTTTTCCCTTGGTATTAGAGTTTTAAGGCTTTTCGAAAGTTATGGCGTAAATAAGCCAGAGCTCATACTAAGCTGGGTTTGCAGGTTGAGTTACCCCGTTTGCCTTTTGAACCTGATAATACGCCCAAATATACTGGAGGAGAAAAAAAATTCGGTACTTTTACATGATTTTTCAAATTACGATATGTTTTTATCTAATGTTATTACGACGTTTGAAACTGAATTTGAGTTATCGTTACTTGATGCATTTGATTTGTTACAATTTTGTCACAATTTCTCATTGTTTTGTACTAAGTAATAGCATTTATTTAATATTTTATCAGCCCTTTTCGCATGGTCTTTCTTATTCTGATGATTTTAATCATCAGAATATTACATTATTGCAGTTATTACTAGAGCCCGGAAGTTCAGGCAAAATGCCATAAATGCCCTTTTCTGCCTTTTTTAAACGTTTTCTTCTGAAAATGCCTTTTTCTTTCCTTTTGTTCATAAATGCCTATTTCTGTCTAATTAAAAAATTTTCTGCAAAGCTTTTTGTGCTTTTGACCGAACATAAACGCAAAATGAAGAAATTTTGAAGTATAGAAATGGTTGACTGTCATCCGACGTATTGTAATGCATTTATAGAGATTAGGACTTATTCCTTTGGTCTTATTAATATTTCCTCTCCGTCTCTTCGTGGCGTCAGAAAACGTGGCGTCACCTTCGCCCGATGCGCTTTGCGAGGAGAGAGAGAAAGGGAGTGAAAAGATTGGAGTTATTTTTACTCACAGTCAATAGGAGTTATTTTTACTTACAACCAATAGAATTTATTCTTACTTACGGCCCATATAGCCTACACCATCGAATAGCTCGTATGCTCTCTTATCTACAAAACGAATTCACCAAGCTGGGTGAGCACATTGTAGCAGGAGCACGAAAAAGTTTTCTAGTACTAGTTATTTCAAAAATGCCTAAATTAAAAGCCTGCACGAGCAAAAAACTGGACAGTTTTGTGAAAGAGTTTAAGTCGAATGTGTTTTCTAATGATGAGAGCATTCTATTTTGTAAGGCATGTTAGAAGTCAGTAAATTTTGAAAAGAAGCATTTTATATCTCAGCACTTGGAGACATCTAAGCATAAAACAGCAAAAAAGCTGAGAAAACACCGACTCTGATTCCCACCTGTTTTCAATTATCTTCTCGCAAATCGGAATTTGTGATGTATTTATGCAGGTCATTTGTAGATGCCGGCATTCCACTGTGGAAACCTGAAAATAAAAGCATACGAGCTTTTTTGCAAAAATATACGAATCAAAGTGTGCCCTGTGAATCAACTTAAAGGAAAACTTATTTAGATGACTGTTACACCGAAGTTCTTAAAACTATTCAAAATGAAATCGGAACGAAAAACATATGGCTATCTATAGATGAAACGACAGATGTAACTGGACGATATGTTGCGAATGTTATTGTTGGTGTTATGGACTAATTTGAAAAACATAAAGTCTTTTTGTTGACATCTGAACAGTTGCAAAAGACTAACAGTACTACAATTGCACAGTTGTTCACTAATGCACTGGCTTTACTTTGGCCAAATGGTACTGAGCATGAAAGAGTGCTATTATTTCTTACAGATGCAGCCTCCTACATGAAAAAAGCTGGAAATGCCTTAAAAGTTTTATTTCCTAATATGATCCATTTAACGTGTCTTGCTCATGCATTGCACAGGATAGCAGAGGAAGTAAGAGGTCTCTATCCTGAGGTAGACTCGCTTGTTTCTAGTGTGAAAAAAGTATTTGTGAAAGCCCCTTCAAGAGTTCAAGTGTTCAAAGAAATTGCACCAGACATTCAATTACCTCCTAAACCGATCCTTACGAGATGGGGAACATGGATTTCAGCAGTCTCATACTACTGCACAAATTTTGAGGAAGTTACTCGAGTCCTTACCAGCTTTTCGGATGAAGAGGCAATATCCATAAGAAAAAGTAAAAATCTGCTTAGCAGTTCTAAAATAAAAAATGAACTGACTTTTATTTCAACTTATTTTGGGAAGCTCCCTGGAGCTATTGAACACATGGAAAAAAGAAATATGTCTTTGTCCGAGTCACTAAAGATTTTCGACAATACTATTGAAGAACTAATGTCTGTGCCTGGACCATCTGGTGACATAATAAGGAAGAAATGTGAAAACGTCATCTCTGCAAATACAGACTTTGAATGCATCAAGGACATTGCAAAAGTACTTTCTGGTGATACTACAGTTGAACTTACCATATCTCCTACCATGGCAAGTTGTTTTAGGTACGCGCCCATAACTTCTGTCGAAGTAGAAAGATCCTTCTCTTTGTTTAAAACTATATTGACTGACAGGAGACAAAATTTCTCTTTCGAAAATTTGAAAAAGCATCTAGTTGTGATGTGCAACAACAACCAATCATCAGAATAAATCTGCATACAATATTATTGTAAGTACGAGTTTTCAATTTTTATTTCGCACCTACGCAGTTGAGGTTTTTTTTTGTGCAATTATGTCCACTTCTTTTGTACTATTGCTACGACAGTCGAGTGAAATGAATATGTAGGTATACCGGATACTTCTAGCAACTTTTTTTATACCTTGGATACCTATATGGGCTTTTAGGCATTACCAACTACCATTTTGCTCCAATTTTAAGTGCCTTTTTTAAGTGCCTATTTCAAGCTTTTTAAATGCCTTTTTGCCTGCCTATTTTTGCATTTTTTATTGCCTGAAATTCCGGGCTTTAGTTATTACATTGTTTGATTTGCGATGATTCCACTGTAATTTCACATTGTCTAATAATATTGGGTCATTCGAAAAATTCCGGTTGTTTTTACAATGTGAGATAATGAATGTAACGGTACAAACTTTCTGGATGACCGAATAGTTTTTTTTTCGGTAGTTATTTATCATTTTTTGGCCCTTTGCACATGGTATTTGTATTTTTTTTAATACATATTTTACTCCCTAGAAATTAAAAAGGCAGGGTACTTGCACTCATTTAACACCATAAAAAATTATTAAAATGTGTAATATTATAACGATACTACATTATATGTTAGTGGTGTAAGCTTTGTAATTAGTGCACAGTTTTTCTAAATTTCTGACTGATTTTTTTTTATTTCAGATATAATCCTGAAAATCTTACAGCATTGGAGAAGTATGTTGAAATTCAAGCAAGAGATAATGCATATGATTTGGAAGCAAATTTGGCTGTCTTAAAATTGTAACTATCTTCTTTTTTTAAAAAAAAAAAAACAAAAAACTTGTTTTTTAAAATTTAGTTTAATTTATTAATGCATATTATACCAATCAGGGGTCTGTTTATAAGAAATTGGGGTCCATTAACGGACCCTTCACAAGATAATTTATCTTTTAATCGGACCCTTCACATATTTGTTTATCTTCATTATTGTTTTGTTAATTGAATAAACCCTTCTCGGGGGGGGGGGGGGGAAANGGGGGGGGGGGGAGAAAAAAGACGGTTCGAAACGAACTAAGTTTTCCAAGTTTCCCTAAATTTAAATTCAAAATGTAGGGTTCCAAGAAAATATTTCTACTTTTACAAACATCATGTCCACATTCTTATTGATATTAAATTCTTTCAATTTAATATCAGTAATTCAATTTTTCAAATAAAGTATTATAAATTTAGGAATTGTTTAAGTTTACTTAATGCATAACACATTAAAAGTGATAGATAACTAAGTTGTGTTATTTTAAATATGTCAATTGAAATTATTAAAAATGTGAGTGATTTTGTTTCCATTATTCGTCCGAAATGAACATTCTGCTTTCAGCAGTATAGGCTAAATACCAAATATTTGCATGTTGCATCTCTAATTTAGTAGCAGCAATTGTTGAGCATAATCTTGTATCTATTTACAATTTAAAAACTTCTTGAAAAGTTTTTTAGCAATTTTTGCAATAACAAGACCCTATTTACACAAATTCACAAAAGCGGGACCCTGGTTGAAGGAATGTGACATTACGCTTATTTTATATTCTCAAATTATGAGTAGTTTTTTCACAATTTTACTAAAACAGGACCTTTCATAAAATGTCTGGACAGACCCCTGCCAATGTAATATTATGGCTGTGAACTGTTTGGTTTTAGCTCAAGGAATGTTTTTAGTGTCAAAATGCCTTGTAATTTATTTTTAAATTCCATTAGAATTTGTTCAAAACAACATTAGATAACTGAAAACATATGAAATGCTTTGTTAGTTGCTTTTTGTGCATCGTTCTTAGCATTTCTTCCCGAAGTAACCTATTTTATCCTAGACTTTGTAAAAAACTGTTAATAAATAGGAAAAACTAAAAACAAACCACTTGAATTTGGCAATGAAAAAATCTCATCGAAAAATTGGTGGCAGTATAGTTACAAATCAACTCCAAATTTACATTAAACCAGTTCAACTGTATCAATTTTTATTTTGCTTATTTTATTGTTAGAGCCTGTCTGAATCGGTTTGCATCATTGACTCGTGTATTATTTGGGTTCATGATATTGATCACCAAATGTTCTACAAATGTCGTTAAAATCATACGCATGCAACAAGGCGACAAATTTGTCTCCTTGAAGTATGTTGCAAATTTACTAAATAGTACAAAACAATAGTTTTTCGCATTGAATTCCATGCATTAAAAAAAAGAATTTCTAACTATATTGTTCAGTTTAATTGGTATGGAATTCTGATGTATTCAAAGGAATTTAACTGAATGTGTCTGGTACAAAAAAATTTTATTATATTGTAAAATTTCAAATTTACATGTTGTGTTATGCATTCATGCACTGATAGTATAGTTTTTCATCAATAAAATATTTTGATCTTTTAGAATTGACTTAATTTAAAATTTTATTAATTTTAGATAATTTAATTTTCTAGCAATATATTGTTAGTTCTTACCTTCTTTGTTTTCCTCTTTTATTAATTTATTTGGTCTCATTTCTTTAATCTCTTTGTTGAATCTATGTACAATCTTTAATTTAGCTTTTTTTTTCTGTATTTAATTAAATACTTTCAATAGGAGATAAATCACCTCATTGGTTTTTAAGTGTTATAGATGGCGATGAATAATTTTTGATGTGTAACATAACATGAATTATGTAGTCGTAAAATTCAATTTTCCCCCCCTTTAATTTTATATACCACATTAAGTTTTTCGACCACTAAATGACTACCTAGGTGGTCTTATTGGGCTACTAATTTTTTATTGCTGGTGTGAATTCTATGTTTTATGAATATGATCGTTTTTATAGCGTAATAGACAAATAAACCGGTAAAAATAATTACTACAAATTCAAATGAGATTTTGTTAAAATTGGTTCATTTCTGAAAAAAACATTAGGAATATATTTAAAAATTAAATATAAACACTTGAAAATGATTAATGATATAAAATTTATCAGAAAAACCTTTTATAATTAATAAAGAAAATAATTATCAAAAGTTCAGCTACTCAAGTATTATTTCTCAGTTAAATACTCGAGTATTATTTCTTTGTTAAAGTTTTCATTCATAAAAATCAGTGTGACACAAAATATGGAGTAAAAGTTAGAAAAATAGATGGTAGCAGATTTCAGGAATATTTCTATATTGCTAAGTTAATGATGCATGGAATGACATTTTAGAACCATTTTTCTGTGTTTAACTGCTTCTCAGCAATATGGAAAGTTAAGTAAAATTATAATGCTAAATAATTCTATTACTATCCAAGTCTTCTCTTGGTTATTCCCAAAATTAAAACCGGTATAAGATAGTTACAGAAAATATAACATATATTATTATGCCGTCGAAACTGATGCAAAATGATATTACGGCAAATGCTAAATAATATTTTAAATAGAATCTAACATTATATAATGTAGAGAAAACAATGAACTCCTATATATATCTGATATTTGAAAGTTGTGTAAAATAATGTTATATTTTTCTGATGTTATCTAATGATAAGTGCTTCTAGGTACAGAAATACTTTCAGTTACAAAACAATAATTATACTTTTGAAAAACAATTAGCATTAAAGATTCACAACTTTGTTAAAAACCATATTTCAGAAGTTTATGCGATCACTGTAAGGTCGTTATTATTATGAATAAAATTATAGTTGAACTTGCATAAGTATGGTTAAAGCATAATCTAGAACATTTTGTTTGTGGATATGAACTATTCTCTTTTAATCTAATTTATTGTTAAGTTTTCTTCAGCTTTTCATTGTCCATGTGAGAAAAAAATTTACATGCAGAAATTTGAAAACATGCACTTTTACATTTCCATGCTTATAACAGCTCCCACACTTGATATTTCATTTGTTTGCAAACATAATAAAAGATTGTTTTTTTTTTTTTTGTTTTTTTTTTGCTGTGTGAAACAAATATGTAGATAGATTTGTAAAGTAATAAGTATTCCGTTGCTTAAATTAAAAGGAGAAAAGAAAGGATTCAATGGATTGTTTTAATGTTTTATTTATGTATATAACATATATTTTTTTCAATAAAATGTTTTCTTAAGAACTCATTATATTCATTGAAACATTTTCAGGTATCAATTTAATCCAGCACAATACACACTTGATATTGTTCGGTTGATACTGATGAAAGCTCTTACTAACTTGCCTCACACAGATTTTGTTCTTTGCAAGTGTTTGATTGATCAACAAAATGTATCCTTTGCTATTTTACTTTTTATATTATTTTTACCATTCTTCTACTGAATTTTTCGATATTTATCAATCAACTATACCTCTTTATCAAGAAATTCATTGTGAATGATGAACAGTTTTACTTTTGAAAAATAATTTTAAATTTTGAAAATATGAATTTAATTTTTGATGTTTTTTAATTTAATTTGTTATAAGTTTGCCAAAAGGAAACCTGTTCTTTTAATATTGCATAGCTATCAACTATCAGTGTAAAAAATACCTGCGTTCTTTGTATTTTGAATAAATGTCGCAAATTTATACATTTTAGATTTAATTTTCAAATTTAGTGTAGATTAGGATTTTTCTTAAAAGTCTTACAAAATTGTATATATTTAAGACTCAAGTAGGTTCTAGTTGTTTGAACCTACTTACTTATACTAACATAGGTCAATTTGTTATTTACTAAGATGAAAATCATTCAATTAAAAACATTAATTATTGATGAAATCATTGATTTTTAGTTCTTTTCATTTGAGAGTGGTTTTAACCATAAATTAGCAATTCTGTTTATAATTTCAAGTATTTTCTATAGTCACAATTTGTTGCTATGAAACTAACTACTAAACTATTGAAATTTTGCCAGAAATGTACGTTTTTAATGCTAATATTTATTGGGTTTTGAGAAAATTCTTCTAGAATGTTTATTACACAATACAAACTCTTTTGATATTGTTTTTTCTGTTTATGAAAAATGTGGGGTTCTTTCTCTGTTTTGTATTTAGTTGTGATGTGAAGCTGTGTTCTTTTTCATGCTGTGTACTCATGTTCTAACAATTTAAACAGTTTAGAACTTTATATATCATAATTATTAATTGATATAAGCTCAATGTTTATTTGATTTTCAAGAGCATGAAAAATGCTTGCTAGCTTGGCAGATTCAGTATTTTTGCATGTTAATTTAAACAGAGTAAGTTTTTTCTTCTTTTAAATAAAAAATCCTGGAAGAAATAATTTTCTTTAAGAAAGGGGGGAAACGTAAAAAAGAAAAAAAAATTTTTTAAATACTAGTATGGAACTCTGTGCACATAGTTTTATATTTTAAGTATCACTGTTAAACAGCGCGTCTTTATGTGATAACTAATTTTTTAAAAGTTGGTGCAGTACAGAACCCGTTATCCGAAAATCAGAAAACCAAAAAACCGGAACGAAATTCGATACATTTTCCTGTCATTTTTTTTTTTTTTTTAATGTTTTTTTCCTTATAAGATTTCAAAATTTTTCTTTCTTTTTTGAAAGATGTTTACCCTACCATCATTTTGGAAACAATCATTAGTGTATTACTTCATCGTTTTTTCTTTTTCAGATTATTTCCAAATATATTTTTTTTTAGTTGAGTTTGACAATAAAAAAAACGACTTTTTGTAGCGATTCAGAAACCCGGAAAATTTAGTTATCCGGAATAGCGATGGTCCCAATCGTTCCGGATAATCGGTTCCCTACTGTATTAGTTAATCTCTTTCTTGAATGTTTTAGAAAAAAAGTGTTCTTAAAATTGTTTTGCAAGAAATGCATAAAATTTATGGTATTTAATTTGAATAACATAATAACTCTTTGTTTTGTCAAAAATGAGGTATGAAAATTTTATTAAAGTATTACTTTAAAAAAAAATATTGTCTGTGAGAATTAACTTTGTGTCATTGTTTAAAGCTGAACAGTGTGAAATATGCACAAATAATACTGCACGAACAGTTTTCTCTTTATGTGGTATTATTTTTTTTCTTCACATTGTTTAGTTTTATTGAAAATATTAAATAATTTTAAATTACATCTTTAGGCTTTGTATAAATGTACACATTTCGTTTTATTATGTGATATAACTTGAATGAACTTTTTTGTGTCCTTTCATTTCATCACTTTTTTAAGAGAAATAAGTGCCTTTAAATTGATACCTAACTTAGAACTTCAATTACTTTAATGCAGTGTCTTTCCTGATTATATTTAGATATACAAATTTTTTAAAGCCAATGTACTAAAATCTATAGCCCTTATGATTTTTTAAATTAAAGATATGTATATATTATTCTCAGAACTAGTGCTAAGACAAATCATGGTTATAAGATTGAAAACTATGTTAACCAGGCTGGATTTTTGTTAGGTCCTCTAGATCAGTATTCCCCAACCCCCGGTTCGTGGATCAAATGGTACTGGTCTGCCCATTTCTTTGGAACTAAATTTAAATTCCTAGGTTTATAACCCAAATTAAAAATATCTGTGTTCCATTAAAGTTTTATTTATTTTAAAAAAGGGGCCTCTGAAGGTAGTGACATAAATTTTTTAATGTTTGTAATGTATCATTTACTCCGATAGAACCATCTCATTGCAAAGAAACAAGCTCAGAGTTCTCATTGATTTAACGTTCTAGTAAGTTAAAATGTTAAATTACTTTATATTTATTTTTTGGTGTAACTCTATTTTATTTTGAAGGTATGTTTAAACACAATTAAATTAAAATTAATAAATAAAAATAATCTAAAATGTTAGCAATCAACGTCCCCGAGTAGGCCGCGGTAAAATTATCAAACTGACAGGTCCGCTGTGATAAAAAGGTTGGTGAACACTGCTCTAGATTTTTAAAGTGAGGAAGAAAACAAGCTAAATAAATTATAATAGTTTTTTATATTGTTGTTTACTCACTCAACTACAAATTGAAATTGTTTAAACTATTTCAAATTTGTATTTACAAGTGTAATGTAGATTTTATTTCCGTATATTATTATCCAAGTTTCCTATATGTGGAATATTTGGTACTCTTCCATTAAACGTGACTATTGGTCATGGTTAAATTTTTTTACTTAACTTAATAATCAGTTGATGATAATCGTTTATTATTTTTAATGATATGAGTGTAACTGACAGGTGTAATGATCAAACTGACAGGTCTGCTGTGATAAAAAGGTTGGTGAACACTGCTCTAGATTTTTAAAGTGAGGGAAAAAACAAGTTAAATAAATTATAATAGTTTTTTATATTGTTGTTAACTCACTCAACTACAAATTGAAATTGTTTAAACTATTTCAAATTTGTATTTACAAGTGTAATGTAGACTTTATTTAATTTCCGTATATTATTATCCAAGTTTCCTATATGTGGAATATGTGGTACTCTTCCATTAAACGTGACTATTGGTCATGGTTAAGTTTTTTTACTAAGCTTAATAATCAGTTGATGATAATCGTTGTTTATTATTTTTAATGATATGAGTAATTGATGGATGTGAGTATCATTGTCTGGTATGCAAGTGCCTCTGCCCTGTATACCTTACTCTGATTTATTTATTTTTTTAATTAATTACTAGTGCCCCCTGTAACCGTCTTTGGTTCCAAATTCGAGTCACAGTGGTTTTGATGTATATATTTTTCTTACAGTCTCTTTAATGGAACAGTAATGAATCTCTATATGACTTAAGTTGATTTGTAGTTTTTATATTTTAAAAATTATTTAACATTAAAAAACTGCAAAAATAAGTATGTATCAATGGATATGTACTGTAGGCTCCTTTTTAATTCATGCATAAAGGGAAGAAAGTTTGAATTAATAAAAATTATAAATTTTCCAAACTTAAAAGATAAGCACTTATTTAAAAAAAAATAATAATAAATATTGTAACATAGAATCACGTTAAAAAATCTTACCTTTAAGCAATATTTAACAAAATGATACATTTTCTTTAAAATCTTTTTAAATTTTAGTCATGTCTTACAAGTTGTGCATTTATGATAAATTTTATTATAAATTTGGAATTCTTCAACTCACAATTGAGGTGCACAATCTGGAATATCTTTTAATGGTTTCATTTAAAATATTTTGTTATGAGAGTGAAAAACCTTGAATTCTCGTGAAAATAAAATATAGTAAATTTATATTTTTCCTAGATACTATGTTGTTTTAAATAATATTGATGTGAGTGTATGTATGAAAAACTTTCTCTCGGCATTGAAAATATATTGTGATGCTATTATTGCTCATTTAAATATTTACAGATGAATTAAATTTTAATCTGTTAAATAATTTTCATATTTATTTACTCCATATTTGACTGGTTTTGGGTAGAAATGTATATGTGTTTCACATTTTATTATAACCCATACAGTTGAAAAGCTGAATGAAAGAAATAGTTTAATTTTTTTTATTCTGTTTCACCTATCAAAAGAATACTTGTAGATTCTTTGATTTATTCTTTTGTAACGTGTGAGGATGCGGGCTGTCTTTTTAGATCTTGGAATCATGAAAGCGTGAGTGGTAAAGTAGTTAAAGGTGGAAGGAAAAGCAATTGGCATTCTATTAGCTTCAAAAAACAAGTCATTCTGCTTTTTAAAAAAAATGAGTTTTCAACAAAAGTTAGCTATGTGTAATCGGAAAAAATTAGCATTGAATTTATCATCAGCACTAGAAAAAATCGAGCTAAAGGAGTGCTTGAGTTATCGTACTTTGAGTCACTGGGAATTGATTGTAATTTGTACTTTGTCTTTTCATTTTTAACACAAAGTGATATTGTTTTTATTAAACTAAACAATAATTAAGTTGTTAATTATCATAAGAATTAAATACAGTGTAATATTTGAAACGCAAATTATTTTTCACCTTTATCCTTTCTCCAAAGAAAGTGTACCATTTTATCATAAAGTGTTGAGTTTTACGTTTATTTTCGTCAGTCACTTAGTTGCGTGAAAACTTCTTTTTTTTTCTTCCAGAGTTTCAACATTGTGATTTCATCCAGAGTTTCAACAAATTGTTACAAACTTATAACGTGTTGAAAACATAAGGTGCATCAATTTAAGTTGCCCAATATTTATTTTTTGCTTTTCAACTGGCTAAATGATAAGTCTCTTTTTATTTCAGAATAACAGTGAATTCTTTGCCCTCATTTAATAATTTTTACTCTATTGTTCAGTATTCTTTAACCTTTACCTAGTTAGCAAATGAGAAGATTCACCAAATAGTATACTTACATGATCTCCTTGAAACATGCCAGTTTTCAGCATTTTGGGTGAGTATTTATTATTTTTAATTGCTTGCTTCCTTTACTAAAGGCTTGTTTAGACGATCCAAGTTCTGATTGATATTGATGGAAACTTGTTTTGCTTTGAACTTGGATGGTGTAAACGATCATCCAAGTACTTAGCCCAAGTTTTTTCTCCCTTAACCAATCAGCGTCTTAGGATTTGTGACATCAACAAGCAGGCATCAGATTATGTCATTTTGTTGTCTGTTTTCATATATTTTTGTCCGAATAAATTGATCTGTTACGCTCTACTTTGATGGAACGTATCCTACGCTTTAAGCGGGGTCTTACTGTATGTGATTTCACTAGACTTCTGAATCGACTAGTTTTTAGGATTCATGACTTCCAAATTTCTGGGTTCTTATTTACTCGAAACAGGTCTATATTTTTAAAAATACAAATCTCCCATTTAAATATATTGCACAGTAATAATTTAGCAAGGAATTAAAAATCAAAGTTATGCATTAACTGTCCTTAAACAATCCTTAGTAGATTGCAAGTCATGTGTGAATAATCTATTATAATATTGGCATAAATCTATTTTATGATAGAAACAGTTATTTCTCTCTGCATTCTCTTATTTCAGTGCTGAAATGTGTATCTTTTTCTTTTATAATTGCAGAGCCGATTGAACGATCCAAAGGACCCTCTTCCAGTAGCTCCAATAACAGGATTTGAAGATTCAATTAGGAAGTGTAAGTATAATTATACAAGATCATAAATTTTACATATTATATTTATTGGGGGTACAATTGACATTTGTAATATGAGTTAAAGTTTTCTTAATTTGCTTGATTCTTTACTTATCTTTATAAATTTGCTATAATCAATAATATTAGTCTTGTTTTAATGTTTCAGTTGAATATGATTTTATAAAAAACTTTTATTTAAATTTTAAAAAAATACACTCAATAACATTTTCAAATAATAGTTAAATCATTATATTTTTGAATTAATTTTATTTTTGAATTAAAATTTGTTTGCTTGAGTAAATAAAGTAATTATCAATTTGAAAAATAGAATGAACCACTCAATATTGAATATATTTGAAATTGTATATAAATTGTTTTTATGGTTGCTAGTATAATCAAGAGAAGAACTCTTTGTCAGTAACTACTTATTTTACAATTTGTGAACTGTAAAATTGTAGTGTTTTTGCTTTTAAACTAATCCCTTGTTCTGATCGCCGCAATGGCGCTTACTGTGATTATTGTGCAGAAGTAGTTTTTAGTAGCTTTTTATTTTAAAATACCATTCCAATAGCTGTTACTGATCATTTCACTAAATTGAATCTTAAACAGCTATTATTGTTTTTTAAAAAATGTATTGTAGTATTTAAACACTTGCATCAGAAATATTTGTTTATTTTAATATTTACCTGTGTTTTATAATTTGGAGAAGAATAATTATATATTAATAGGTTATGGTTGTTTTTAAACTATTATACCGTTATTCCTAATTATAAAATAGTAATATTATAAATTTCCCAGGAAAGATATTGTGTATAATTTAGTTTTACTAATTTACATACGGTATTTAAATATATGTCTTAATGTTATTATTTAATAATTACATTTTTGTCTTACTCTCATAATTAGTGCATATAATTTTTTTGCATATAGTGTTCCTAATTTTTGATTCCTAAGGTTGGCAACTATGCATTTACTTTCTTGCAGTTGTAGTTAACTATAACTATTTATTTTTAAAAAATGTTGTGATTTCAAACTACTTTCAAAATGCATTTACTGCTTAAATACTTCAAGAAGACTAATTTTGTTGGAGAATATGTTTTTCACTCTTGTTCAGAATTAAAAGCTAAGTTGATTATTAAAAAGAAAAAAAAAGATTTAGAATTGTAAATGAGTTGCTTTTTCTTTTCTTTTTTTTTTTCTCAATTAAAATTTTTATGCTTTTCTTGGCACTGAATATTTATTTTAAGAAATGCTTAAAGTTATCAAGTATTTGCTATCTTAAGTGCTTAAATTTGTTATGATTTTTTTCCAGTTAAGCTTATTATCTTAAAAAACTGAAGCTTTAAACTCATTAAAACTGAAAAAAAAAAAAAATAAGTACATTGGAGGCTTTTTCATTGAATCGACTGATGAACTCTCGAAAGATTTAAAGAAATGAGGTCTGAAAAATGTTTATAATTGTATCTTATACTGTTACTAAACTTACATTAAAAGTAGTTAATAATTCTAAACTTTTTTTTCTGCTTTTTTCAAAATGTAGCATATAAGTTCCAACTGCTGAGAGCGTGTAAACTGGTGAATTGCTTATTGTGCAGATTTATCGACAGGGTGCATAGCTTTTTTAAAAAGTGCTTAAAGGTACTTATTTTTTATTTACGCTTTTTAAAAGCCCTTAAAGGTGTTTTTTTTTGGGGGGGGGACTTGTAAAATGTACTTAATTTTCTATCCTTTAAAAAGAGATTTTTTCTCTGCGATATTTATCAGAAACTAGTTATTTTATCACAATTATGTAAAGTTTTTGAAAATGTTTTTGCGTTTTATTGATTTTATGTTCATAAATTAAGAACTTTAAACAATAGAAGGAAATAATTTTTATTACTGCACGGATCCTAATTATGATTTATTTTTGGAAAAGGTTAAAAATATTTTTTCAGTGCTTGAAAAGTACTTAAAAGGTGCTTGTTTTTTGTTGAAGAATCTGGCAACGCACCCTGATTGATGTTTGTGCTAATCTTTTTTTTTCATTCTAGTCTATGTAATGAACTTTTTTTTCTTTGTTATCTATGTATCAGGGATGCTACGCCTGCGCCATTTGCGACAAACTGAGACAAAACGGCATAACTGCGCCATTTTGCGACATTCAGCTCAGTTTCTGCCAAAGCTGCGCCATTCTGAGACAAAACGTCCAAAATTTGGCAAACCTGAATTCAGTTTCAAATATTAATCCGCATTGCCGTGAGTCATTGGAGATCATTTTGCCGTTCACGTCTCCAAGGGATGAAAGACTTCCACGAAAAAGCGGAAATCCGCTTTTTTCTCCCAATTTTTAAAATTTTCGACCATGTTCCAAAAACTAAAATTTTTAGGGAGTCCAATTAGAGAAACCCAAGCCGCCGGAACGATAGTCGGATTCCCGCGACTTCCGCTATAGAGTGGAAAGGAGTCTAAGTGTTTCGTTTCGACCACCGATATATGATTTTTTTTTTCGTTTGGCTGATTTTCGGAATTTTAAATATTAGGAATTGCGCTGGAATATGCTAAAATCGCGATTTTTAATCAGACGATTTTAATATCAATCATCGATTTTCGTATTTAACTTATTTAAAACTTATGTGTTGCGACTTTTTTTACGCTGTTTAAAAATCGTACTAGCAATTCCTATTCACTCAATTTAAAAATTCAATATCGCGATCTGTATTCCCGCGAGTTTAAAATCCAACGTCGCGATTCGTATTCACGCATTTTTAAATCCAATATTGCGATTCGTTATCACGCAGTTGTAATATCAGATCCCGTTTTTCGTATTTGTACGCTATTTAAAAATTACTCATTGCGATTCGTATTCACGTGATCTAAAAATTATTCATCGTGATTCTTATTTACGCAATTTAAAAATTCAATATCGCTATTTGTATTTTCGCGTTTTTAAAATCCAACAGCGCTATTCTTATTCACGTGATTTTAAAATTCAAAATCGTGATTCATATTCACGCGATTTTAAAATCCGAAATAGTGATTCATATTGACGCGATTTTAAAATCCAATATCGTGATTTGTGTTTTTTAAATCCAGCTGCGCGATTCATATTCACGTGATTCATATTCACGCGATTTTAAAATCCAATATCGTGATTTGTATTTTCGTGTTTTTAAAATCCAACAGCGTGATTCATATTCACATGATTTTATAATCCAAAATCGCGATTCATATTCACGCGATTTTAAAATCCAACCGCACGATTCATATTCACGTGATTTTAAAATCCGATATCGTGATTCATATTCACTTGATTTTAAAATCAAAAATCGCGATTCATGTTCACTCGATTTTAAAATCCAATATCGTGATTCATATTCACGCGATTTTGAAATCCAATATCGCGATTCATATTCACGCGATTTTAAAATCCAAAATCGCGATTCATATTCACGCTATTTTAAAATCCAATATCGTGATTCATATTCACACGATTTTGTAATTCAATATCGCGATTCATATTCACGCGATTTTAAAACCCAAAATCGCAATTCATATTCACGCAATTTTAAAATCCAGTTTCACGATTCTAGAAAGAAGTAGAATTAAGTTTTTTCTTGAATTAGTTACTGTAAAGATGTGATATATTTTTCTACAGTTGTTGCATTTAAACAATTACTAAGTGCATTCATAATCACATTTTATGATTGTATATTTAGCTATATAAATTAAAAGAACATAGTCAACTAACTAATCTTGTGAATGCAAGAAAGTACAATCTACTAGTCAATGCCAATTAACTAAAAAGTTTACTTTTATACTTAATAAAGGATGCAAGTCATTTTAGAAAGAAAATTATATTTATATGTGTCTTTTTAAATTGTTTATAATAGTTTTTAAATATTTCTGTTTTGATATAAAAATGTATATATGCTAATTTTTGGCTATTAAGTGCTCCCTAAAATTTTCTTGAAAAATTCCTACCTAAAATATTTCAAAATTTCACTGCACCTCCTGAATTCTATCAAAGAGTGTTTTTTTTGTGTTATTTGCATTTTCTTAAACTCTCATTATTTAATTACTGAATTTCTCTTTTAATTATTGAAATCTGTAGACCTTTCATTGTAACTGAATAGTTATATATTTTGAGATGAAATTTGAGCTCAAAATAAAATGGGTATTTTCCCTTTTGAATTACTGAAACTAAATAGATATTTCTTTTTAGAAAGTTAACACCATTATATTTTAAAAAATAAGAAAGTTAAAATTTACTTTGTAAAATTCTGGAACAGATACTATTCATTGGCATAAATGATAAATGCAATATATATGAAAACAACAGAGTCCATAAAACAATTTTGTGGACTCTTATAATCAATCATATGCAGGTTTTTTAAAATCCTAGCAATAGTGAATGTATGTATAATTGTAGTACTCCTAGTATGCTATTAATGGTTTTATGGATCCTGAAAATTATCTTTATATTGTTATCAAACTGATTAATAATCATTTTAGCTGAGATAAACTGAGTGAAAAAAATAATTTTAGCTGAGACAAACTGAGCCAAAAAGAGATTTTAACTGAGACGAAATGCAATTTCTGGTGAGACAATTTGATATTTTGCGAGTAGCATCCCTGATGTATCAAACTTTTTTTTTCCTTGTAGTCATTTGTCATGTTGTAAACATCACTTATCAAACTATTGAAAAAGAAACTCTCATGTCATTTTTGGGTGGAGTATCTGGTAAGTCTTTTATTATCCCTTCCTCAGCCATTATAAATATGCTTTATGTAGCTATCCTATTGCGTCATAAATGCTGTGTTTATATTTTATTATTTACATTAAAAACAGTATTGTTAAACAAATTAATTCAGAATTTAGAAGTAAATTCTGTTTTATCAGTTACATCTCTTTATTGAAAAGAAATAGGACAGCACTAGCATATTTTTCACTGTCAAATCAACTCTGCTGTTAAACTTTTATGTAATTTTGGATGTTTAGCTGGGTGCTTAAAGGTGCTAATTTCCGATTTTTGAAAGCCCTAAGGTGCTTTTTTCATCGGCTGTTTTTAAAAGGTGCTTAATTTTCCCTTTTCTAAAGTGAGATTTTTCCTTTACCATGTTGATTTTCTCTACGAATTAGGCAGAAAGACGCTGTTCCTGTTGTTTTATTCAACGTTTTCACAATTAATTCAACCCCATTCTATTTCGGCTTATCGTCAGTCCGTAGCGTACGAAAAAGTCATTCGATTTACATTATTCAAAAATTTTGACAATCGTCCCAAACAGTGCCGAAAGTTGTTTTTTTTTTTTTTTTTTTTTTTTTTTTTTTTTNTTTTTTTTTTTTTTTTTTTTTACGTGACGGTTAAAACCAGATAAAACAGACAATTGTCAAAAACTTTCCAATCCTACCTAATGGTGTTTTTTAAGTGCTTAAAGGGTGCTTATTTTTTGTTGATTAATTTGGCTACACACCCTGTTTAAGTTCATACATATTGTGAAAAATAAAATAACTGTCCACATCTGTAGTTTTTAGAACTTGTGGATGCACCGTTAATTTTTTAAGCTACTAAGACTTATCATTACTAATTTATTTTTATAATATTATATAAAGTAATAAGAATTGTCTCCTTATTTTCAGTTTTATTACATTTGAAATATTAACTTTATTTTTTTTATCTTATATTCCATTGTGTAATTCTTCAAACATCTTTTCTTTTAAAAAAAATAATAAATTATTATTACAAATTTTGTCCAATCTTTGAGCAATGTCAATTACTGATCTGTCTGTAACATATTGTGATAGAATGTATTTATTTTGTACAAAGTATCTTGTATCTTATACAGCGTTAAAAACTTAATGAATTAAAATCACCTCTTAGTACAGATTTAATAAGATTGCAATTAGAATATTTTGAAATGATATTGTACAAGCAATACTGTTACATTTATTTTTAAAAAAAATTAAGATAACAAAAGTGTTAAGTAAATAAGAACTGTCTGATTTGACACTTTTGCAGGAGTTGCATTCTTGGAAAGATTTGCACATTTCCCTCGGTTACTTAAAAGTTTAGTCCAAGAGAAAAACAACTTTTAAATTTAGGGGAAAATGTGGACAAATATTTAAACTGTAACTCATCACAAAATTAATATAAAACTTTTAAATACTTTTAATTCTAACTAATAGATATATCAGTCTGTTTCTATTTTTGGCAAGAGTGCATGCTATATGAGTGTCAAGCAAACTGCAGTTCAATTTTTTTATAATTTGCATATTCAAGCTATGTTAATGGAGTGACTAAGTTCTCAATTCTTAGTAAATTTTACAGTTCAATGCGTGTTTCCTGTTATGAAGCCTACTATATACAAGAAATATGTCAGGGGTCTGTCCCGGCCAAATTTACTACCGTTAAGCGGTACCTTCACAAATTCAACTTTAGGAAATTTCACAAAATACTTTTTCTTCAAATTTTATTTTTGCATCCCGTAGCAAACAATATAATTTTTAATTTTCATAAAATAGGTACCTCTCAGAAAAACCTAGACAGACCACTGTATCAAATAAGTAACCCAAAATCAAATAAGTAAATAAATCATGAATAAATATTGTAAATATTTATTTAATATTTGTAAATATTTATTTCTTTTCCACCTACTTGAGCAGATTTATTTGAAAGCATATTAACGAATTATGTTCCTATAACTCTAATTTCAATTTTATTTTAAATTTAAATTATGTAAAAAATTATAAACAAAAATATTAGATTTTTAGTAAAATGATTAGAATATTTCATGTATTATTTTTTACTTAAATTCTTGAATGTTTTACAGAAATAAACTTTTGTCTTTTTTTTTTCTTCCTAAAATTTTAATATATGTTTCTCTGGTAAATTATTTTTGTGCCAACTTCAATACCTTTAATATAATTGTTAAAATACTAATTTTTAAACTTATTGGAAATAATTTAAATTATCTCATAATAAATGTTGAAAAAAAAAATTCACAAAAAAAATAAAGAAAGAATCTAGATAATATGGTTGTTACAATAAAAATAAAGTTTTTATACATTTAAAAGGAAAGTTTCAAATTAATAAGTTAACAAAAATATTTGTAACTTAAACTTGTTACCCAGACAAATTCATGAACAAAAAGTTGACAATTAAGTAAATTATTTAATTTTATTGAATGTGGGAAAAGGTCGGTTCTTTTTCTGAAGCTGAGTCGTATAACACATTAATTGGTGGTTAATCAACCGTGTGGGGAAAACTTTACAATCGATTTGCTGTTCATTAATGTTTACTTTAATTGTCAATTTTTTAGGATAAGTTAAATTCTGATATCATTCTGCTGTGTGTCATAGACAATGTCATATCTCCTTTCTAGTATTTTTTTTCTAAATGATCAACCTGTTATAAGTGCCAACTTATATTTCTCCTTTTAAGTAAATTTTTTATTTTTTACAAAATAATAGTTAGCATGCTCTAGCTATTCTTATTTCTCCTTTAAACATGGTGCGTAGCATTTTTAAAAAGTGGTTAAAGGTGCTTATTTTTTATTTTCGTTTTTTAAAAGCCCTTAACGGTACTTTTTTCATGGGGTGTTTTTAAAAAGTGCTTAATTTTCCCTTTTTGGAAATGAGATTTTTTTTTCTTCGTCATGTTGATTTTCGTCGCGTATTGTGCAAAAGCGTGCTTTTCACATTGTTCTATTCTACGTTATTCACAATTCATTCAACTTCATCGTAACGTTGATCCATATCGTATAAAAATGCCAATCATTTTACATATTTGATTAAATACTTGCGAGTCCGCATACTGAGCTGGGTTCAGTTAGATTCTAGCACTCTCGTGTGCAGCTCTGCTGCATTTTCCAAGATATTCTCAATTTTTTACTTCATTTTCCACCTTCTAAAATCAAACCGAAAAATATCTTGGATCTTTTTTATGGTGGCTAATGTAATTAAAAAAAGTTCTTTGTCAGAAACTAGTTATTTTATCATGATCATGTAAAGTCTTTGAAAATTATTTTACATGTTGTTAATGTATATAGTGCTTAAAAGGTGCTTATTTTTGGTTGAAAGATTTGGCTACGCACCCTGTTAAATTTTGCACCTGATAATTTTAATTTTTTAAAACAGTTATTAAAACAGTATAAATAAAACAGTATTTATTAGTTGGCATGTCAAAAGTGTCTATTCATATTTCTCCTTTTGGGGAAATTTTTGATTTAAAGAAAAACAACAAAAAAAAGGAAAGAAAGCAATTTGCCCTTATGGCATGCAATATAATCTTGATTATCCAAACTTGTTTTTATTCTTGCTAAGACTGAAGTTTGTGAAGTTTCTTAAAACACATTCGAGAATTAAATATTAAGATAGAAACCTTTCAAATAATAGGCATGAGGTTTTTCCAACTTTTTAAACTTAATTATTTCATTCCCTTTAATTATGATATGTGTATTAAATTTTAATAGTTTGTTATATTCTCAACATATGCATATAGTAAAAAAAAACTTAAGAGAATAAAAATTAATTGAAATGTTTTCTTTTTGTGGAAAACATTTTCTCAGGATATGAGTTGAAAGGTATTTTAAGACTTTGTTTTTTTTCCCACTCTCATGAATGATATAAGAGTTAGAAACATACTAATTATGTTTTAATCATTTGTTTACATATTGCAAATTTCTGCTAAATTTAAAAAAATTTCTGAAAAAAATAAATTTTGATCTCATAAAGAGGAAGTGACCTCAAATAAGCTAATTAATTAGTGTAGACGATATTTTTATAAAACCAAAGCAGGGGCACAAAATATAAATATACTTTTTTTTTCTTTCTTTCAAGAAGTATTTGTATTTCTAACTCTCAAAATATATAGGGCAGCCACAGTGTAGGAAACAAGCAATTCAAAGTTTGAACCCCCTTATGCTAATTTTGGTTTTTGTGTATTTCCCTATATCTTGTAGCCTTTTTGTACACAATTGTTAAATGTGTTTATCGTAAGATAATTTCATGTAAAAATAATTTTTATAACTTATTTATTATTCTATTTAATGATAGTTGAAAAAATTTTTCAATTGCAAAAATACAAAATTTGAGAAAAATTGGTTGAATAGTTGATTATTAAGCCTTATGTAGAAATTTAATTTTTTAAATATGATTTTTTTTAATAATTTCTCAAAAACTATTTGCCCAACTTTGTCCTTTTAGCCAAACTATTATGACTATATTTCGAGAACCAGAAACTCACAATCTGTCAAAAAAGATGTTTATTTTGAGAATATATATTTTTTTAGTTTGTTTTTGTAACTTTAAACATTGTCTCCCCTAATTAATGAGCATATTTGAGGTCACCTTGTCAAACTATTAAGTTTTGAGCCCTAGTACGTGCAAATCAAATTATTAAATTAAAAGTTATTTAGGTTGTTTTGTGAGTGTTTGGGTACAGTGCAGTTTATTTTTACGTGTAATTTTTTCGCGCTGAAGTCTCCCCTTTTTTTTATTTTGAGGTATTGGCAGATATTGTTATAAATAAAAAAAATTCTGAAATTTAATTGGGAAAGAAAAAGGCTAATTTTCTGTAAAATGTATGTTTGATTTGTTTATTTTTTTGTTTTAGAATATCAGTTGAAAAGTTGGATGCACAAATATGGTTGGCGAGAAGATAATAAATTGGTTTGCATCAGTAATCAAGAAGAGAGCATAAAAACAAAGAACATCACAGAAAAGATTGATTTTGATAGTAAGAGTTTAATATTTTTTATCTTGTAGGAATAAATCTATTTTATTTTTTCAATAACATTGATCTTAAAAGAAAAATGCTTGTGGTACTCACTAAATGCAAGCAACCCAGTGTTATTTAAAGAAAGCATTTTGTAACATGCCTGAACATCTGGTTGCATTAGTTTTTTCATACTTATTGTTCAAAAATATGCTTTAAAAAAAACTTGATTTTTCAGTATTTTGCCTAAATTAAGCAGGTAATTTTAAGTTTCTTTTTCTATTATCTTTGTCAATTTTTATTAATTCGTAAAATATATGTTTCTAAAATTATATAAAAAAGTTCCACGTTTTGTAATTTTGCATTAAACTACACAAATGTAAAAAAGTGGTCAGCCCTTTCCTTTTTTTTTTATTTATTTAATTTTTTTTTTTTTAATATAATCTACGGAAACTCAAATCTACTGTTGTTCGAAAGTACTTTTCGATATTGAGAAAATTTTGCATTTCTGTATCTAAATGTTATTCAAGAAATGTTACAATTTTCAAAATCATAAATTTAGGAATGTAATGATTATTCAATTTTTATTAATTCAAAAATATATTACAGTACAGAACCCGTTATCCGGAAATCAGAAAACCAGAACAAATTCAATAAATTTTCCCGCCATTTTTTAAAAAAAAAATTTTTTTATTTTTTTTCCTCATAAGATTTTTCTTTCTTTCTGGAAATAATCATTAGTGTATTACTTCGTTTTTTCTTCTTTTTAAGATTATTTCCAAATATTATTTTTTTTAGTTTGGTTTAACAATAAAAAAAAGGCTTTTTGTTGCGATTCAGAAAACCGGAAAAATCAGTTATCCGGAATAGCGATGGTCCCGATCGTTCCGGATAATTGTTTCCCTACTGTACTACTATCGAAATTGACTTTAATATATTTTGCAATATTCCATTTAATTTTATTTGTAAAGGAAAATATTTTGGGAATTTAAATGTGTAATTGTTGGTCTAATATTGTTTTTGCATTTTAATTCCTATTTTTAGGCATTAAAAATATGTGCAATACTCTACATACTGTGCAAAACTTGCCTAGAAAGTTGACAGTACAGTGCACACAAAAATTAAACACCCTGAATAACTCGATCTAATAATTAGATCTTCTCATTCTAGGACTCAATCTTAATAGTAGGTAGAGGGGAGGACCGCTAATATGCTAATTAATTAGTGCAGGCGATATTTTAAGTTATGAAATCAGGCACAAAAACGTAATTTCTCCGAATAAACATACCTTTCTTTTCAACCGATTAGAATTTCTGCCCTCTTAAATATGGGGGTAGTCGCAATCTGGAAAATATGGTAGTAATAGTTTGGTCAGGAAGTCTACCCCTCGATCTTAATTTTTTGTATATTTCATTATATTTTGGAAACTTTTTATGCTAATCAAAACCTTTTTGCTTTCGTTTATCTCAAGATAATTCCTTGAAAATTATTTCATTTTATATGACAAAATATAAAATTTCATGTTTCGGAAACTATTCAACTGATTTCATTCAAATTTTGTATTTTGATATTTAAAATGATGTAAAAAATTTTATACCTTCCAGTTCAAAATTTTTTTTGATTAAATATTATTAGAATGGAATTGTCTTTAGATAAACAAATTTTATTATTGTGTGCATAAAAGTATTTGATTAGCTTAGAAGGTTCACCAGATACGGTGAAATATGCAAAAAGTAAAAATACCATTAAGGGATCCAAAAACTGCGAACAACTCTCCTTTCCAAACTATTAGGATCATTGTTCCAAAATTGTCATTACCCCTTATATTTTGGGGGGGTCAGAAATCTGAATCTCTCCTAAAAAGGTATATGTTTCTACCGAGAAAGTGTCTCCCCCCCCCCCCCCTTTTNCCCCCCCCCCCCATTTTATAACTTAAGATATCCTCTGTGCTAATTAATCAGCATATCTTAAACCATTGAGTCCTGGTGGGTAGGTTTTATCATTGGCTCAAAAATTATTCAGGGTGTTTTTTTTTTTTTTAAGCATAGTATGTTTCATTGTGCTAAAACTAGTTTTTGACATTAATGTCTGATAATCATTCTTTTTTTTTTTTAGGTGTTGCTGCTATTATGTCTCTGGCAAGATAATCAGCTGTATACTTCAATAAATGTAATAAAATATTTCTCCTCTTATATTTCGTTTTGATTATTCTTAAATCCTATGTTGTAAAACAACTCAAGTTCCCGAGTAATAAGGAATTTTTTGACTTTAAAGCAAGAAAAATAGTTTTAATCAATATTACTGAATATAATCCCAGATTATGGTTTTCTTTGAAAATTCAAAACTTATTTAAAGAATTAATCCATTTAAACACTAAAGTCAAGAATTTGTTAACTCCTTTTGAGGTCAAACTTTTTATGCAACGTTTTTTGATTGTACAAATAGGTAAATTATACTCGAGCATTAAAATTTCTGTATTCAAATCCATCTGTCACTTTCCAATTTTGATAGTCCACTGTGTATATTCGACTTCTAGGACAGCCTGTATGCCTCAACCATAGAGCCCTGAAGAAAATCAAAAAACATTTATTAAAAAATATCAATGGAATCTTTTTTTTTTCTTTTCTCTGAGATTGGGGTAAGGTTCTTTTCTGAAATGCAGATTACTTTGAATTTTTTATTATTCCTACAGATTTTGCAAACTATAAGAAAATTGCATTTCCTGGTACTTATTGATTATGGGGAACTTGTGTTATCAACTGCTTTTCCAAATTGTTGCCAACATAAACATTGATTCCTGTAACTGTAAAATACAACTTTTAATAACGATATGTATTGTCAAGATATAACAATTTCTATTTTAATGAAGGTTTGTGCCAGTATGGCGACATGGCAAAACTAGCTAAATGTTCTACAAATTTGTCACCTGGAAATATGCTTGGAATTTTCAGAATATTACCAAAAAAAGTTTTTTTTTTCCAGCATTTTAGTTTCTATGTTGAATCTATTTACTTATTTTAGATTTTTTTAACTTAATTTCAGTAAATACTAATCTTCAATTATTTTATGATTATGAACTTACTTTCTAAGTAGTATAGATGACATCTGATAGTTTTTGACGAGTACCGTAACATGAATTGTAACGGTCGATTTTTTCCCCCTCAAGCTTGTCTTCCATGTTAACTTTTTAAACCACTAAATTTTCATTGGTGTGAACCTTAATAGTATTAACCTACTTATATTTTTACATTGGTCAATATTTTTGTTATACGAATAAAATTTATCAACATTTACAGTAATATTGTATTCAATCAATAATTATATGTAATAAACATATTGTGCATAAAGTGGTTTTTAATCGCTGATAAGATATATGCCTGCGTATGAGGCTAAATTTTTCTGTTTTCTATTCATGTTAAGCTTTTCTCAAAATCTTATGTTTAACTTATTTTCTATCAAAAAGTGGTAAATTTCTGTGAATTACAAAAATGTGGTCTTCGTGGAAAAGATTGGTTGTATGAAGCTAAGTTCACCAACACGTAAGAATTACCTCAAGTTCTGGTTTATGCAAGCAGCTAGCTACTAAAAATGTACATATAGCTGTATCATATACAACTATATTACGATCTTTATTTATAAAAATGAATGTTGAATATGAAAATATCACTCTCATTATTGATAACTATAATTATAGAATGAGATATAGTCCGATGTAAAAGCAATATAAGTTAGCTGAGTTCGAAAAGTATCACAATGTACTGTTTAAAATCGATATTTTTTGACAATGCATCTCAATACTAAAACTTGGCACTATTTGGTTATAGGATCATAGTCTATTGGTTCGGCACTAATGGGTTATATTTGTCTTAGCAGCAACTCAGAAAAATAGTCGCCAACATATGGTCCATCTATCTGTAAAATATCCCAGAAAGTAGAATTTTATTTCAAAATTAAGTGGAAACTCTAAATGATAACTTGTGCTGTCTGGCTTTGTACAAATATTTAAAGCCAATTCAGCCTTCTTATTAAGCATGTATGTTTTGGGAAGTAAAATCTTTTAATAATCAATTCCACTTGACCGATAGGTAACATTTTTGAAATAAACTTTCAAAAGAAAAAAATTAATGAACATTTTATAGCTTACATTTCATCTACGTGTTCCTTCTCTCCTTGTATTTGTCCTATTGCTGAGCCATAAGGTGTCAGTTTAATGAATCCTTTGACACCAAGCCTATCGGCTATGTCCTTGGCATGCTGTACCGTGCAAAATATGTAAAATTACAGTCAGGGAGAAAAATATCATTGAAAATCAAAAATTCAAATAATATTTATTATTTTTGATGAAAATACTTAAGGATGTATGTTTATATATTTTTTTAAATACCATGAAACATTATCTTGAATTTCTGAAAATGAAATTTATAAGCTTAAATATGTGCGAATAGTTTTTAGCTTTTGCTTTTAAATGTTTTTGTACAGTTTAGAAAATTTGTAAACTTTTTAAAAAAAAAAACATTTAGGACAAGAAACACATTTTCAACTGCCATAGAAATCTGCAGCAGCTGCTGCTGTGTTTTTGCTAATGTATATGTTATCTCCCAAACAGTTGACCAAAATATATTGTTACAGTCTCTATAAATGTTTTTAGGATAAGCAACTTAAAGATGTGAACATTTTCCTAGTTCTGAATTAATTGGTTAATACGGAATGTGTTTCACTCAATCCATTTTTTTTCTATCCATCCAAATCCATAGCCATTAAGGGAAAAAATTGAATATGTTATTATGATATTAGTAATCTATAAATTCTTAGTAATAATTAATGTAAAGCAACTAAAAAATAGACTTTATGCATATATAAGAAATCACATATCTATTTTTTTTATTGTTACTTCTGTCCCTATATAATGTAAATATAACAAAATATACTGCACATTAGTAGCTTAGATACAAAACCTGTTAACTGCATTATTAGAAGAACTAAGAGAATACGGTTATAATTGAAAAAGTCAGTCTAGGTGTTTTGTGTCATGCATTTCCTATGTGATCATTTATTTACCAAATTTCATCTAAAAAATAATTAGAAGATTTGACATCTGATTTACAGAAAGTATTGGAAAAAATTTTACATACCGTAACAAAATTCACACCTGAAAGATAAATAATAAAATTAATCATTTAACTCAACAAAACTAAATAAAATATTATCTAAACATCAAATAAAAACTATGTATAAAAGACAAACACGATATTTGACAAAAAAGGAGATTTGTGTAAAATAACAATAAAAAAACTTTTAAAATACAGTAGAGAACCAATTATCCGGGATGCTCGGGACCATCGCTATCCCGGATATCTGAATTTCCCGGTTTTCTGGATCGACCAAAAAGTGTCGTTAATCGATGTTTTATCGAACCCTCATGCACATATCCTAATCATATTTGGAAAGATTTCTGTATCGTGATCTGTTGCAGAATAATCGCCAAGTTTTGGCGGCTATTGAGCAATGGCCTTAGAGAAACTAAAAATAAGAAAAATCACAGAAAGTGACCAACTTGAATCGTATCCACCCCCAGGCAAGCACCTACTTGTTTTTTTAAAGTTCAAAATCTATTTGGCACTTTGATTTGGTGATTGTAGTTGGCCCTACAGATAACGATAAGGAAATATCCCCTTATATTTTTTTTAGAAATGAAGAGTTTAAGAATCTTTCATGAGTGCTCAAGAAGTGCTTAAGAGGTTCTAACTTTTTATTCAAAATTTGGCTATGCACCCTGTGTAATTAACTATGTAATCATTGTTATCATGGCTTTTTAAAAACCATGGGTGACATTTTGTGTGGAAAGAAGCTTTAAAAAACTGGAAGAATGAAAAAAATTGGATGAAATGGAAGAAACTAAAATAGTTAAAATTCTCCTTATTGATATTTTAAAAAAATAACTATTTTAATTTTATTTATTTTAATTTTGTGCAGAATACTAAAATTTTACAGCTCTTTAGTTTGGGTAATTTAACAGCGTTTGATTATAGAAATTTATGTGACATTTGTGTTTGTGAATTCAATGTGCAATTTTTTTGTTTTGTTTTTGCAGTAGTGCATACATGGCTTCAATGCGTGATTTGTAAATTTAGTGGCATAGTAAAAACTGCATTATAATATTTTTACAGATTCTTTATATAATTATGTNAAAACAATCCTCTCTTCCCTGCCTTCAAGGTCACGGAGGAAATGACGTTTCTCTGGGTAAACGGGGAAAATTTTTTTCCCCTTCCTTACATTTTCCTCTCTTCAACTTCAAGGATGAGTTCAATTTCCGCTTTTTTCATTCTAGTTCAAAATGGCGGAAAAATCGAGCAAAATTTTTCCCGGTTTTCTGGATACCGGATAAATGGTTCTCTACTGTATCAGCAAATTTAGCAAGCAGTATAATATTTCATTTGTGCCATTTTATTAACTCATCATAAAGAAATTTTTAAAGAGAAAACAAACGACAGTTTACAAATTAGAAGAAATACTAAATATGTTGGAATAATTTTTTTACTTTATTTGTTATATATTGTACCAGCTTTGGTGACTTAAGTTTTTCTTTTCGGCACAAAAAAGAAACAAGCAGCAATAATTCTACTGTATTTAATTGACAAATTTATTTAATAGACAAAATGTAATTAATTAAAATTTAAATAAAAAAATTAACAGAAATGGAATATTTATTTTTAAAAAATTAAAGAGAAACTGAAAAATGGAAGTGGAAACTAAATGTCCAGTTCCGATGGTGTCGTCCTGCGTACTGAAGCGTTCATCGGGTGTCTCAAACAGTTTCGGTTTAAGTTACGTTCGTTACTATATATATACACACACCATATGTAAAGTATATGTGTATATAAATACATATACCCTAGTAACAATTTTACATTAGCCCTAGTCGGGCTCAATATGGGTCCTATTTGAACATGTACCAAGGGACCAATATTGAGATGTTTAGATTTTTCAATGGTGGTCCTATATGGGGCTAATATCGGCCTATATATACATTCAATACAGGGCCTATATTGGCTGCATAGTGAATATGAAATATCGGGTCATTGTGAGGACCTCTATACAGGGCCGATATGGGTTGTAAAGTGACTTTATAATATGTATGGGTGAATCAAACAATTCTATATAGGGCCCGTATCAGAAAATAACGACCGTTTGAACCCTATTTTGAGCCAAGATTCGTGAATATTGGTCCAATAAGGGCCCAAGTTATTTTGCTGCCAGGGTACATACAATTGTAATAACTGGCAGATGTTGCTATGCAAGCCATCGAATAGATTCTATTTAACCTATTGATGCTTACGCAACATCGTACCTGATAAAATATTTGTAAAAATCAGAATCGGAGTGATTGGGAAGAGACAAACCTTTTGCGTTTCGCATCTGAAGAGATGAAATTTGCCGAAAAAATGCTAACTTTCCAGCAATCAATTTGTGATAATGTATTTAGTATTATGTGTGTCTTGTACGTACAGTACGCCAAATAAAAAAAGTGAGCACTTTTCGGTCAAGTGATCGATGTCTCATTCCATTCAATCTTAAATGTTCGAAAGGGTTACCATTAATATGCTAATTAATTAGTGCAGATGATATTTTAAGTTTTTTAATCAAACGCAAAAATCTGAATAAACATACATTTTTTTCAACAGATTTCAATACCTAACTCTCAAAATATGATCTTAATAGTTTAGACCTGTGATTCCCAAAGTGGTCTATATCGACCCCCAGGGATCGACGACAACCTGCAAGGGTACATGTCAAGTGAAAAAAAAATTGGGGCTCCATGAAATTAAAACGGGGGTCAATGATAGTGGATCTCATATAAGCAGGTCGTGACTTTTAATTTTGGCATTTCATAAATGGAATAATCAACATACACTGATAGTACCTATTTACTTACATTATACTACCTTATAATATATAGACATATATCTATCTACATTCTACATAATTTATAAAAGTAGCTATGAAGTTAAAATTTTAGTTATTAGGATTATTTTTTGATATACTAAAATGAATTATTATAAACTAGCAGTTGCCTGCATACGTTTTTATTTTCTCTGCGTGTAAGATTTCATTTTGTAACAAAAAAGTATTTTTTCGCTGTAAATTGTAGCCTAGCCTGTGTCAACACTTTAGCTAGCTAGACCTCCAATTTTATCTGCGCTCAAGATCACGGAGATTTGTTGCTTAGTTTTTAAGTGAAAACGTAATAAACAGACCGGCAACACACTACTACGGTTTTGGTTTTGTATACAAACTTATTTTTGCAATTATAATATTAGTTTAAGTTTTTCACACTACAGTTAGAAATCTAAATCTCTCACAGTGAGTAGCCCTATAGCCGCTGTCAAAAATACATTTGAAGTTGATGAATTTACAAAAAATCAATATCGGGTAAGCAGGAACCCAAAACTGGAAACATGGCAAAGGGTCTACAAGATAAAAAAAATTCAAGAACCACTGGTTTAGACAGAAGAACAGGCGAAAATTTAAACTCTTTAATGTTGATTTTTTCTCGTATTTCGTTTATCAAAAAATAATTCTGATAAGTCGAAAGTGAATCATTGCAATGTCTGGTTGATTCGAATTCCACACCCGGCTTGCGCCAACCACAGTGCTGACTTAAAATATCCCCAGTGGTCGACGGATCATGGGTTAGAGTCCTCTTGCTGCCGGGCTTAAAATGGGAGGTTTTCGTGGAATTGAAAATTCAATTAACTCAAAAACTATTTTCCCTAAAAATACATTCTTAAAAATTTGTGTTTCTCACAGCTATAAAATTTTTCATCTATCATTAAAAATAAATAAATAAAAAAAGACGTATATTTTAAATTCGATTTCTCAGAAACTATTCAAACGATTTCGCTCAAATTTTATATTATTACTTTAAAATGATGTAAAAAAAAATTATACGTTACAATTCAAAATTTTTTCAACTATTGATAATAAATATGTACAAAAATTTATTTTTTGCATAGAATTATCTTCGAATAAACAAATTTTATAAGTGAGTGCAATTTTTTTTTAATTCACCTAAAAAGTTCTCGAGATATGACGAAATACGCAAAAAGTAAAATTAACATTAAGGGGTCCAAACTTTGAACCGCTCTCCTGACTAAACTATGGTGACCATATTTCCCAGATTGCGGCTGCCCTCTATATTTTGGGGGTCAGAAATCTTAATCCGTCGGGAAAAAAAGTATGCTTATTCAGACAAATTCATAACTTAAAATATCGTTTGCTCTAATTAATGAGCATACATGAGGCCACCCCTTCGAACCATTAAGAATGAGTCTTAGAACGTGAAGAGCTGATCATTGGATCAAAATTTATTTAGTGTGGTCCGTTTTCTTATGTTTTTTTTTCCGCACTGTTCACTTTAGTTTTCATTTTAATTTCAACCAAGTCTGGTTCAGCGAGTAAATTGCCACCAACCCTAGGTTCTATCTGTAAACAAATTCGACTATTCTAATAAAAAGAAGAAAATTAGTTACCAATATTGAAGTTGCACAAAAGTAGAAAATTCTTACATTAAAAAGAACTCACTATAATTGGCTCAGTTCTTTTCCTTTCCTAAAATTATTTTCTAAGAAAATTAATATTTTATTTTAAAAAAATGTCCTTTTGTTATTTACTTTTCATTATTATTAAAATCACCTTAATTTTTTTAGCAACTTTAATATCAAACTTCAAGCAGTTTTTTTAAAAAAATATTTTAAAGAATGCATGTTAAGTTTATTAAATTTAAAACATTATATCAAGAAATGAATGCCAGTTTACGAAAATGGACATAACTCAATATGGCGTATAGATTTTAATAAAATTCCGGAGCATCAACTTCGTCACAAGGGGTAAAAATAAGCTCCCGACTTCAGGAAAACTGAGGCAGAGGTGTTTTTCAAATATAGATACATTTCAGAAAGTATAATTTGCAACAAACCTTGTAGGTCACCGTACACTTCAAAATCCACTTGCACCAGAACTTTAGGGGCTGTCACATAGCTTCTGGGGTATCTCCAGACGATAATTTCGCGTCCTCTCATCGCAATTTCGAAAAGTTTCGGGATACAGAAAGAGAAAATCTTCTAGTTTCGAAGAATGATGAAGGTCGGAAAAAGGCGTAGGCGGGGAATACGGATTCTCTGATGAAAAACAGCCAAGTGGGCCAACATATCCTCTTCCTAATATTGCGGCAAAAAAAAAGATTCCAAATTCTAGAGAAAACGAATAAACGAGCCAAGCTGCTCTTCACATTGTTCCAGTGCTAAAATTAGGAACTTTTTTCCAAAAGCATTGTTTAATGTTGCACAACGAAATCTTTATGTAAACTTTTGTTGATAATAAAAAATATCGCGAAAATATAAACTAACTATTTAAGACCGCAATGTCATTAATACTATCAACGCGCTTTCATGTTTCTTACGATGGAATTTAGCAATCATTTCAATACTTGATGGAACTCCGTGTCCTATGAGCCTATGACTATGCAAGTTTTAATCGCTTTCTGTCTGATTTAAACTAAATTTATTTCTGTCGCATTTATAATTTATCTTACCTAATGCGGATGAAAAGATTACAAATCTGAAATTAGTTTTATCCCGCAAACGGCAGATTTTTTTTAAATGATATTTTTAGCTCTTTCTTGACTGTACAAGTTTATAAATAACTTATAGGTTTGCATATCTATCTATCTATACACAATGTATACATATATAGGGGACGAACTAAGCATTTGCCACCTCGCCAAATGCGATAAAATCGTAAATTTGGCGAATAAAATTGTGTTTTGGTTAAAGTATTGGCGAGTGATTTTTTCCGCTGGAAAGAAATTAAAAATTACATCGAAATAAATTTTTCTAAACAAATCGGCATTTTTTATATCGCGGGAAATATTTCATCAAAACATCAACTACTTCATCATACAGTGTCAAAAGTGAAAACATTACTTTTTAAGCCTAAAAATCTTTGCAACTTATATACTCTACTGTACTTGCATTCAGTTCAGTGTTTTTCTTCTTTTTTTTTAAGGAAAAAAAAATCTTAATAGTATAATTAACATTGTCAGATGCACGAAAGAGTACAAGTCTAACATTCTATTTTTTTATGCATAAAACCATAATAACTTATAAATTATGTGTCTTATTTCTAATATGATTTTGTTTGATTCAGCATACAAAATTAAAATAATGCCTCATTTGTTTAGATAGAAATAATTAAATTATTTCTTCCTTCTATATTTTTGATGATCAAATTTGTACAATTTTTCTTCACTAACTAAAAGGAGGGTACGTATGAGTTTATCTCTGAGTAAAACCTTTCCTAATTCTGGCATAAACCCTATTTTTATTGCAATAATATATTATCAAAGGGAATTTATCATGAAATAAAAAGTTAAATTTAAGTGAAGATACTCAATTTTAAACTTGAGCTATATGAAAACATAATAGCTACAAACAAAATTTATTACAATATTAGAAATGTATATTTATGAAGAAAAAAAATATTTTCTTTAGCAGTTATATTCTGATATTGCCCTAAGCAACATAATTTAAACATAATCTTTGAATAATATGGCAACTCTGCACTTCTATTAACTATCTTATTTATTGAGGCTTTCACGCTCATGAGTTAGTTACCAAATTTCGGCAGCGAAATTAACAATTGAAGAATTTGTTAATGAGATGATGTATCATTTTTATTGCAACTTTGTGGTTTTTATATTTATTTCTGAGGTGTAAGGAAAAATTAAATTTAACAAATGCAATTGATAAAATATTTAATGCTAGTTTTGATCCTCAATCAAAAAAAAAATTTTTTTTGTCTTAAAAATAATTCCGAATAGTAATCATTCAGGCATGCTTGTTTACACAAATGTAAAAAATCGGTAAATTATCAAATTCAGATAAATTGTCATATCTTTCTGAATTTCACTTTTGCCTACGATGCAGTACATGAGGTATATATAAACTAGCTTATAAAAAAATATTTTTACTATTAGATATACAAGAAATTTCATATAATCAGTAATCATTGCTCTAAATATATCAATTTAAAATCAAGCACCTGCACAAATGTGAAACAAATAAAAAACGTACTTATTAAATTATCTTTTTCAGCCATATTTTGTTGGCTGAAAACGTCTGAGGGTTGAAATTTAAATGAATAATTTTTATCAAATTTTGACGATTTATGGGTGATATTAGGGTAATGTGAGATAAAGTCTAATTACTATGAAACAAATAATCCCTAGATAGTTCAGATACCTAAATGCTATTTTATTTGCCGAATGAAAACTGAAACTGTTTTGATTTCTCGCTAGAAAACTCTTTTTAAATTTATCTAGCAAAGAAACTAATCTTTAATGATGGAGTGTCTTTATATGCTATGTTATAAATGGGGAAGGTCCTTTTTTAATAAAACAACACAGAACTTAAGAACGAATGTGATTTGAATTAGTGAAAGTAAATCTTTTTTATTTTGATGGGTGGTTAAATAAGTACGGCTTCCTACTAAAGCCAATGATCACCATATTTCTACGAGGTCAACGCTAGAAAAGAAAAAATTACCAACTAATCACATTGGATGTCGCTGCAAAGAAATATTTTTTTTTAGAGTTTTAGCAATACTTGACCTTTCCATAGCTGTGATAAAAGTCCATTAAAACATTAAATAAAAAATATTACAATAAATGTAATTTTTCTAATTGTTTGCCTGAATATTTTCTTGATTCGAAACTAGCAAAACTCTACACTAGATGGCGCCACAAATATAAATTCTTGTTCGAAGAAGCATTTAATTAGTATTGTAAATAATATTACAATCAAGAAAATAGTAACTTTTCAACTTGGCAAAAAAAAGTTAATTATCCCAAAGATCAGGAATTTCAGTTATTTATTTCTGACATAAATTTATTTAATATGAATATGTACTAATTTTTCAACAAAAAAAAAATATTTTCTTTTTCATATAACTAATAAATATTATATTTAGTACAAAATTTTATAAAAAAATCTGTAACTAAACTATTTTTATTTTATTTTGTGCACAATAAAATATAAACTTTTCATTCTTCTGTTTAATTATTTATCCTGACACTATTTATAGGTTGCAACACCTACAAATTAAAAATGCAACTTTTTTTGATGAAAAAGTAATTCTTAGAATAAAGAATTCTTTTAGAATAATACAACGAAAAAAAAATTTAGTTTTTAAAATAAAAATATAAGTATTATAAATAATTATTTTAAATATTTTTTTATTTCTCACGCAACTTTTTTTTAATTTATATACTTAATGGTTAAGCTAATTATGATCATATGAATTTCTCCCTTTTTTATTTGCATAAAAAATTTATTTTGGAAAAAAAGTGGAAGGTAAAATTAGTATCTACTAATTACTTTAGATGTCGCTACTAAATCCACTGTCTTCTTTCAACAAACATTTTCTTTTTTTTTAATGCTTTTTCCCTGGTTGTGAAATTTGCTTTAACTTAATTATAGAACTAAACAAAAAATCACAGTTCTTAAAATTTCGAGCAAAAAGTTTGTTTATCGTGGGACAATATCTCTTTTCGAAACGGAAATAATTTTTTCTAACGACTGCAAAACCCAATTCAAATTTTGAGTAATTAATAATTTTGAAATGATTTAGTTAAAATCGATAAAAGTAACCATGTTATTTTCAACCATTACTTTCATCATCATGCTACTTATATTTCAGCTTAAAATGAAATTAGTTTTTAAAAATCAGTTTAATTGTTTCATGGAAAAACGTCATACATTTGGTAATTTAAACAATACATGTAATTAGATATGACATTTGACTATGATTGACTAATGGAAAAGATTTGATTGCACAGAAAATAAATTCGAACATAAACATTAAAAAGTCAATTCCTAATAAATTCCCTTCTCTTTCTAGTATCGTTTGGCGACTGATAATTAAAGATTCAGTTGAGGTTTAAAAATATCGATTTTTAACAAAATATCATGATATTTTTCCAATTAAACGGATTTATATTACTTTCACATGGATCAATACTTCAATTACCCAAATAAAGTTTATAGACACTCACAATAATATAGTATTCAATAATTATTGTTAGGTATATTATTCGCGATATCTTTTTGATAAGTATCGTTATCGATATTATCGTATTTGTTACACTTATGTGTATTATCGGTCATCATTGATCCTAAAGTCCACAATTACTTACATTACATAGATTTAATCCCACATTTGACTCCATGGTGGCTATAACCAATTAGGGCTCTTGACTGACATATAGCAAAAAATATTCTCATGAACAACGAAAGATATTTTAAATTTAAAATATACTTAAAATTTTAAAATTAACTTTATTAGATAATCTTTCGATCAATTTTAGATGACTTTTAATCTGATTAATACGAAAAAATAGCGTTTAAAAAATATATAATGACGTCAACAATCATAAACTACCAAAAAGAGTAACTTTTCTTTTTGAAGATCACTCATTTCTTTAGTTTTATTCGAAGTAAAAATAAAGCATTTCTGCAACAGCCCGTTGTGAGCCAGGAAGGGGATTTTTAAAATAGGGAATAATGGGGATTTTTTCCTATTTTTTACCCAATGGTAAAATGGGTCTTGGTTTAGATTTCATGGCGTCCTCACTTTTCAACTACAATAATCAAGAGTAATAGTAAACAGTGCGCATGCGTTTCTATAGCTACCGCAGCTGTTTGATAATTTTTTAGAATTCTTTTTTTCATTTTTAATTTTGTTACGCATTAAGTTGGTGAGTTTATTTTTGAGATATGGGACCAGAGAGATGCCATAAATACTTCTTGAGACAGAGGCTGAAAAAGACTAAGAACGTAGACGGGAATACCTTAAGCGTTACACACAAACGGAAAAACGAAAGGATTCCGTTCACAAACTCAAGCATGAGTCCCGTCCCTCACAAAAGTACCTAAGTGATTGAGAGAATTGAACCCTACCGAAGTGCGAATGGTGACTCTGCGAATCCATTTCATGCAAATACGAGAACTTGGTGTTCTCCACTTAGAGATAAAAAGATTCATTGTCAATGTACCCAATAACTTGCACAAGACCTTAGACTGTCTTCCACGCAATATAAATGATTCATTCACTATTCATGTAAAGATTTTTTTTAAAAACCTAGCTTTCAAATCATATTTC